AACAAATCATACACTAGAGCTAGACAATAATCCAAAGATTACAACGCCAAAATATCACATACTAAATTTGGCTAATTTATTTTAAAATCAAATTTGTATATTTCGTGTTGTTTTTAAACTTTAAATTCTTGCTGGCCAATAACTTTAACAACCAGGCTTCCTAAATTCTCACGGGTATATATCTATATGAAAATTGCTACTTAATATGTTTGATGTAATTATTTTGCTAATTTGTTCACTTTTTATATTTACATTAAGCTTATTATAGATAATTAATTATTGTTGAAACTTAATAAAAAAAATTACTATTGTATTGTAATGTTAAATTCTTTATTTTCCAAACTATATTTGTCTACTATATTTTTATATAAAATAAATTTGACATATAAGTGCCGCTAAAAGAAAACCTGTAATCAGGCTTTTAATTATATTTTGCACCGGACATATTCTCTAAAAAATTAAATAAATTTTGTCCAATACAAAATATAATTGAAAGCTCGATTACAGGTTTTCCCTTGGTGGCACTCATATAAAAGATAGTAGTACTAGTAAATTTTAAAATTTTATCACACTGAATAGCATAATTCTAATATGAATATCTATATCTGCAAGTCATATAATAGTGTTGAATGACAATTTGGATAGCAGTTCGAGTAATATTTAAATTATGCTATTCAACATAGTAATAATAGAATTTTTAATTTTATCAGCATAAGATAAATACCGCAAACAGGAATTTTGATAGCTGTAAATAATAACATAATATTATAAAGAGTTTAGTACAAGATAAATTTAGATATTATAGCTAATGCCAAATGAAATCTTTAAAGCCTTGTATAATTAACCATTTTAGTATTATAGATTTAATCAAATAGTATTTAGAAATAAATTATATTAAATAAAAATTTATCGAATATTTTTTACAAGTTTTGTTCTGTATTACTTACATATAAAGTAGTTCTTGTAGCAAAGCTATAAGCAAGCTAATATTTATACATTTTTAGCCAAGAACCTGTTATTATAAAGAAATCTATATATATTTAATAAGTGATATAAAGTTTTTTTTGTTAAGTAATTTAAAGAGCAATAATAAATTATTAATTAATTTATACAATTTAGCTATTAATTAATTTGGTGAAATTGTAAATTTGATATCAATAAATTACTTGTTACTATCAAAAGTAAAATTTGTAAATTTCTATATAAATAAGATATTAAAAATAAAAATTTATTGTTTATTATCTATATACTTTTAAAATTGTACTTTAACTATGAATCATGATCCTATTGTAACTCATTCAAAAGCAAATTCAAATATTGATGAATCTTCGTCCGATAGTCTTGATAGTTCAAGTAGCAGTAATGAACAAGAACCTGATAACTTCGATAAGTTTCAAGTTACTTAAGATATTGAAAGTTCAGATAATTTAACTGAATTTGAACAAGATCAAGATATTAAAAATCTAGATAATTTGACAGAATTTGAACGAAATCAAGAAGATGAAAGTTTTGATACTGAAATGTATGATAATTTATCTATATCGCATAATAATGAAAATTCTACTGAAAATATTCCTATAACTTATTCAAATAAGCAACAATCCTCACATGTATGGAAATTTTTTATAGTACTTGCTACAAAACAACGTAAATGCAATCATTGTAAACGTATCTTTAGTAATAAAACAGCAACAAGCACACTTGATCAACATATTCAAATACAACATATAGGGCTATATAATAATTTTTGTCAAACAGCTTTAGATCATTATAGACGTCCTAAACCATATCCATATAATATTCAAGAAAAAAAAATAGCTCTTTTGTTAAAGTGGATTGTTGTTAACTTACAAGCATTTCGGGTTGTTGAAAACTTACATTTTAAACAATTTATTTTTGATCTTGATCCACGTTTTCAGCTTCCTTGCTGGCAAGCACTTCAAAATTTAATTATTTCTAAGTTTGAATTACAAAGAACTTTAATTAAAAATTTTATTTTTAATCTTTCTTGTAAAGTTACTTTGACAACTGATATTTGAAGTTCTTGTACTATGACAAGTTTTATAGCAATAACTTGTCATTTTATAGATGAAAATTGGAATCTATATCATCTTCTTTTAGATGTTTTTGAAATTCCTTCATCTCATACTGGCCAAATAATTTCAAATATTATTTTATCCCTTTTAAATGAGTTTCAATTAAAAAAAAAATTTTAGCATTAACTTTGGATAATGCTAATAATATTGTCTTAGCTAGTAGTATAATTAAAAATACTCTTGCTAATAATTTTTCTAATAGTTTATTTCAACATATTCGCTGTGCTGCATATATTATAAATATTGCAGTTAAAAAAGGCTTAAAGTTAGCAAATAGATATTTAATTAAGCTTCGTTATTTTATTAAAAAAATTCGTAAATCTGCACTTTTTATTGAAGATTTAAAACGTATAACAGCTTCTTTTGATCATCCTTTTTTAAGACCAATTATTGATTGCTCAACCCGATGGAACTCATCTTTTTTGATGATAGACCGTACAATAGTTTGTGTATGGATTTAGATTCTCTTGTTATACGACATTCAACATTGCGTGATTTACAACCTTCTGAAAATGAATAGAATATTCTTTTAGTAAGTATTATAAAATATTTTAAAAAAATTCTACTTTTGCCTAAATTAAAGTATCTAATAAATTAGAATAATAAATATTAATAATATATAATACATATATAATAATTTTTTTAGAAACTTCATAATTGTCTAAAACTATTTAATACTGCAACAGAAATTCTTTCAAAGTCTAACTATCCGATTTACATCTTATTATTTCAGGTTTATTCAATCATCTTAATGCTTTTAATAGTAACTATCAAGATATAAATGCAGTAGTATCTAAAATTAGAGAAAAATTAGATGAATACTGGCCAATTATGCAAGAAGCGAGTAAGATTGCTGCTTTTTTTGATCTACATTTTAAACAAATTGTTTATTCAGAAAATTCAGCAAATGAAATTTTGGCTTCAATCTGTGCAAATCTACCAGTAAACTCTGAATCTATAGTTTAACCTCCATATATTTCAAAGTGTATTCAATTTTTACAAGAATATAATAGAACATCTATGTTAACTACAACTTCTGACTTAGATGAACTTACTCGATATTGGGAAATAATTGCTCCACCTGAAGAAACTTCTGTTTGTGATTGGTAAAAGGCTAACCAAAGGGCTTTTCTGAATTTAGCTACTATGGCAAAAGACTACCTAGCTATTATGTCTACTAGTGTTCCGTGTGAACAACTATTTAGTTTAGCTGGATTAACAGTTACTAAATCGCGAAACTCTCTTGATAATAAAACAGTTCGAGCTATTTTGTGTTTAAAATCTTGGTTTACTGAAGACTTACCATTCTAAATTTTAGTATTATAAATTTTTTTTTCCTGTTAGCAGGTTTTTTTTATTTACTTATTTAATTTTATGATGCTTATAAATACGTATAAAATTTTATATTATAACTTTTTATAACCTAAATTTTTTTTAACT